GGCGGAGCAGGGCCGGCGGAGCGGGGTCTGTGGGCCCGGCCGCCACCCCCGCGGTCTGACCTGTCCCTGCTCCAGCGCCGCTACCGAGGCCTGCGCGCAGCCATCTTGCTGCTCTGCGGCGTGACGTCGCCACGCGGGTCGGGCGGACGGCGGCCAGGCTCAGCCCGGCCTCCCCGCGCCTCCCCGCCTCCCGGCCCGGGCCCCGCGCCCCGCACCCTGCAGCTCCCCCTGCAGCCTCCCCTCGCAGTCCTCCCCTCCCTCCCCCCTTCTTCCCGCCTCTCCCTCTTCCTCCTACACCTGCACCCTCCCTCTCCCACCCTGGCAACCCCCTCCCCGTAACCCTCCCCCTCCCCCTCCTTGAAACTGCCCCCCTCCCCTCCTCTCCCTTCCCCCTCTCTACCTCCTTCCCCCTCCTTCCCCCTTCCTCCTCCTCTCCTGCTCCCCAGGCCTCACTGCAGGGAGGGGGGTCGGCACCCTGGTGGGGGCGGGGCGGGGCGAGCTGGGGGCCCTGAGTCTCCAGCTCGAGTCCCCTGGGCAGGGGTCCCTGGCGGGAGAGAGCGTGGGCAGCCCAGGGCTGAGGCGCCGGGCTGCAGGGTGTGGTGTGAGGCTTTCCAGGGGCCGAGCCCTGCCACTCCTGGAGGCTTCTGTGCCCTACCGCACCCAGCTGCAGGGGCACGCTCCCCACCTGCTCACCTTTGAAGCCCTGCCTTGCGCCCCACCCTGTGGTGCCTGCCCCCCAGGGTGCGAACCCAGTGCCCTTTGGGTCCCCAGCCCCGCATCCTCCCTCTCCACGGAGACTGGGGCGCGGGGCGCTGTCCACCCAGCTGGTCCCTTTAGGACGCGGGACCCAGCCGGTCCGTGGCCACCTGCGCCCCCGGGCCCGCTTCTCCTCTGCTGGGGTGAGAACCCTCAGTGGGGCTCCGAGGGGGCCTGGGGAGGTCCCTGACCCGGGTACCCGAGGTCACCAGAGACCGCAGCGGCACCCTTGGACTGCACCCTCTCTGGCAGGGCAGCCCGTGCTCCTGCTGGCCCCAGCTTGCCTCTCCTTTCAGCTCTCTTTCTATCCTTAACTTTCTGTTTTCTCTGAAGATGCGCTAAGAGAGGGAGCCCCATGAATTGCCGGGTGGTTTGGGGAGACCCGCCCATCTTTCAAAGGCTCTTGGGACCTACATTTAAATCTCATGTAGGTGATTTGGGCACATCTTACCTGGGCCCAGTGGCGCCCAGAGTTGTGTCCAGTGAAGCCCTGTCGTTTCTTTTGGTCTTGAGCGCCATGCAGTACACAGAGTGGGCCTGTACTCCCAGCTACTCTGAAGACTGAGGCAGGAGGATCACTTGAACTCAAGGCTTCTAGTACAGCCTGGGCAACATAGAGACCCTAACCCTAAGAAGATAGGAGTCAGGTCTTTTCCTAATGCTGTGAAGTGCTGGTATTTCCTCTGGGTGAACCGATTAAAAGGACTCTTTTCGAGTGTCACAGTGTTGCTAAGAAGAGTCTTTAAAGTGACTAATGAAACATTGTTTATTTTTTTTGAAACATTGTTTATTTTGAAACCATCAAATCTCTCATTTTGCTTGCCTGGCAGAACTGCTCATTTCCCCCTACGCCTTTCATGTGAACTGAAATTTCCACCTTTTCTGGCTGCCTAGCAGTGTCGCAGTGTCTATTGGATTCGGTGCTGGAGAGGCCTGAGGGGTCCTGCTCCCTTCTCACCCTAATGCATAACCTTCTGTCAGCTTCTCCCCCTGGGGGCTCCTGTAAATGGCTGTGGGGATTAACCTGCAGCAGGTAAGCACTCAGCAGCAAGGTCTGTTTCCCCCCCACTCCCGACTGCAGCAGTAGCTGAGCAGCTAGGCTGTCTCTCCTTGCCACTGTGTGGGAAATAATGCACTTGTGGGTATTGGATATTAGGGTCTGTATACAGTGGAGCCTTGACTTACGAACTCAATCTGTTCCCGAGGGCTGGTGGTAATTAAAGTTGGTCAATGAAGGCTCAGGCTCCTCTCCAAAGCCTTCAAAGTCTCTCTCCTGCACTCAGGCAGATCTCAGTGTCCTTAGAGAGACACTGGCCCGGGGTTTCCAATGAACCCCACACAGGAAAGGATGCTGTCATGTTCCTTCCAGAACTCTTTACGGGTTAAATCTGTATCTGAGACCATCTGGAAGCACAAGCAGCCGGCATTCGGGTTGTAACTCAAGACTTTATTCGTAAATCAAAACGGAAATTGTGGCCGTAACCCAAGTCCTTCGTATGTCAGGCTGGTCGTAACGCAAGGGTCCACTGTATTTCCTTTGTTGATTTAGATTATAATTGGGAACCGGAGGGCATCTTCTTCTTTCAGTTTTAGAAGCCCCTGCACCTCTGCACAGTAGCAGGAGGCTCTTCTCAAGTCAGGAATCATGTCTGTTTGCAGTTGGTTTTGCAACAGGCCCTCAACTTTCTCCTGGCAGCTTTCTCTTCCACATCCAGCCCCACCTTGGTTCATCCGAGAGGAAATAGATGGCGGTGGTTGGCCACAGTGACTCCTCAAGAACAAAGGCAAGGTTCGGAAGGGCCTCAGGTGGGAGATGCCCATCAGATTCCATTCTGTTGGCTTTGCAGAGCTCTCTCCTCGTGCTGCTCCTGGGGAAGAGGACAGCGAGTACCAGCCGGGCTGCTGTTGGATAGCGCGCACATTCTGAGAGGAACACCCAGCTGGCTTTTATTAATTGTCTGCATTCCCGAGCTTTGTCCTCCTGGCGGTGTGGATAATTTCTGTTTAAAAGACAATTTGCTGTTTTCACAGCAGTCCTGGTTATCAAATTCCTTACCCTTCTTCTTAAACTACAAATAGCAGTGCCGCTTCATCTGCACACAAAGATCCTTGTTCCTGGCCGGGGACAAGTCCCCGACAGAGGTCCGGGTCACCGCCTGTGTGGCCGGCCGTGTGGGCTGTGTGCGTGGCACCTGTTGCCCAGCCCGAGCCTCCCGGCTGGGCTTCTGGACCACTGTCCCTTGAGGAGCCGGCCAGGAAATTCGTTTCACAGCACAATTTCTCTTGTGCCGTCATTATACCAACAACAATAACAACGAGGACAGCATAGTTCCATGCTTAATTCCCTCATCACCTGAAGGCTAGGAAACTGATCTTTCTCTCTGAAACACCGAGAATTGTGGACACAGTGCTCTGGGATAATCGTGTGGTTAAGGAGACCATTACAGCATGGCCTGTGTCCGAATCTCTACAGAGACCGTTCTCCAGTGGCTCCACCATAGGCTCCAGAGACAGCTCAGTGCCCGCTCCCTCCCTCCCGGGCGGGGGCTCTCTGGCTCTCCCTCTCTGGCTTGGTGACTTGGCTGCATTCCAGAGGAAGATGTTTCTGCAACACAGACAGAAGACTAAGTTAGATCCAATCCCAGCACGTGCATGTGAGGGTGAGGCAGGAGGAGTGCTGAGTTCAAGGCCAACCTCAGCTACATAGTGAGAGACCCTGTCTCAAAAATGACAGAGCAACAATACTAAAATACAATAGAGAAGGGAAGAAACCACCAACAAATGACAGTGCAGACATAATCCTTTCCGATAGAAATGAGTATTGGTAATACAAGCCAAACATCAGAATACTCTGAGGGCATTGACATGGTTACTTTTCTTCATATGATTTCTACTTCATTTTTTTCCTGACTTTATTTGATCTGGCTAATTTAACTTAGGAATTTGTTTGTTTGTTTGCTTGAGACAGGGTCTCAGTATGTAGCCCAGGCTGGCCTTGAACTTGCAGCCATCCTCCTGCCTCAGCCTCTTGAGTGCTGGGATTATAGGCATGTGCCACCACACCTGGTTAATTTGGATATTTTTAAGGGACAGATAGAAATGATATGATCCTACATTCTCCAGTGTAGTACACATTGATTTAAAGAGGACAAAGAAACATGAAAGCATAAACCTGTTAGTTTATAGAGAGGACCAGGGTCGTTAGTGGGAAAACATGGTGGCAATTCCTCAGGAATATTGCAGATATGTTGCAAAGCCAGTCTCCCACAATTTGGAGAACATCATTTCTCCACATAAATTCATATTTCACAATCCACTAGTCACTCTTTTTATTCTAATCCAAATTTGGCAACTCACTTAGTATCTTTGTTTGGAGGGAATCATTTTTCAGCTCTTCTGATGAACTTTAATAATGAATACATTTCACCTGTTAGGAATTCACCACTGTACATATAAATAGGACTTGACAGCTTTAAGTCATTTTATGCACTTCATATTTGATTTTTTTCTGTTCATCTTCCACCAATTTTTTGCTACTATCACCAGTACTGAATGATACAGGGATTTTCTGGTCAAAACTCACAATGATTTTCTGTTACCCTGGGCTACACCACCATCATCCCATCCCCATCATCACCGTGGTTGGCTGAGTTGCACGCTGGGGTTCCAGCAGTGGGGCAACTGTCCCATTTGAGGTTTGTCCCCTCTGAGCCCCCGTCCTTGCAGGCTGACTGTGCTGCCATCTCCCAGGGTGGCAGCGAGTGATACCCGGGTTTGCCTGGTGATGCAAGCAGTGTTTGTTGCAGCTGTGACATCAGTGTCCCCATCTCTAACATATATATTTATATGTCCAAACCTCAGCTTACCTCAACTTACTTTTTGTCCCTTGCTTTCCACCCTGTTTATTTAGTTTCTAATTATTTTTTCTTTTGTACCAGGGATCGAACTCAGGACCTTGTGCTTGTGAGGCAGGCAGCGGAACCACTGAGCTAAATCCCTGGCCCTTGTTTTTTGGGGTTTTTTTTACCCATTTGATCAGATTTATTGTTTAGCAACTGATGCGTATTTTAAATGCTTAATAATAATTGTATTCATTATATTTGTGATCGTTTAACTTTCTCATGGAGAAAAAGAAACACAGGCATGAAATACCTGCTGGGCCTTCCACATAGTTTTGGTTTTTACAGATACTTGGAGCCCGTGTCTACACGGTGGGCAAAGAGGCACCACCAGGTGACCAGGCCCGGGTTGTGACCTTTGACCCACTGCTCAGTCCATCTCAGGATCTGGTTTCTGTTGTCCTCCCGCTCTTCAGGCATATTGCTGGGCAGCTGGTGCACAGTGTCTTCCTTGTATGGTAACATGGCCTCTTCATAAAGAACGTGAAAAATCTCACACTCGAT